TGTGTCTGTGTCTGTGTGTCTGTGTCTGTGTCTGTCTGGGACTAGGGGCCGGGGAGATGAGGTGATGTCTCACCTGGCTGTGCTCCAGATGTCCAGATGAGTACACACACCTCCTTGGAGTCAGCCATTTCCTCACCTGAGCTCCATTTTCTTGCCTGTAAAATGGGATTAATAGCATTTACCTCACAGAGTCTTTCTGAAGCTTAAAAGAGATAATGTATCTAAAACAGTGCCTGACAACTCACAGGTACTCACTATATACTAGCTAGTGCCACTGCAAAGTCGAATTTTTCCTAGTGGTTCTCTGGCAACGTTCTGCTATTTTCAGCAAACTCCAGGATAGTTCCATTTTCCAGAGTTGCTCACTGGGTGACTTCCGTGGCATTATCCAAAATAAGATTTCTTGTCAGCCCTAGGAAATGTTAACCAGATGCTCCAAAGGGGACCCAAAGGGTTACTCAAGATAGTAAGTGCCCTAGCCCTTCCTCCTTGGCACCCCTGGGATCTGGCACAAGCAGCCACAGTGAGCCAGAGGAAACTACTATGCATGACAGGTTACCCCTGATGTCCAGGCTGACGGAGCTGTAGAGCCTGTCAGGGTGAAGCTGCGAATGGGGGGAGCAGTTAGGAAACAGGAGCAGGAGGGGCAGCCCCTTATAGTCACCCCAGACTAGGCTGCCCCCACCCATCCACACGACTGCTGCAGGATTTCAGTTCTTCAGGTCTAAATAGAAGTGTCCTGGGGACTCAGATCTGCCAGTCATATCTGAGGACTCTGGTCCTTGGGGCAAAGTGCTGCTTTATAGGGTTTTGCAAGCTCTAGGGTCTGCGCTAGGTGGAGTACCCGAGTGGAAGGTAAGTTCACCCTTCCCTCCCCAAAGACACAGCCACACAGATGCATACATACCAACATGTGACACAGCTGACATGCCTGCATGTGAGGCCACAATGCTAGGCTCAAATCCTGCCCCTGCTTCTTACTAGTACTGTGACCTTGGGCAAATGACATAACCTCTCTATGCCTCAGTCTTTTCATCTGTGTAATGGGGATATAAGCAGTACCCATTTCACAGGGTTGTGATGAAGACTGAGTGGGTTAATGCTTGTAAAGCCTTCAGAACAGTGCCTGGTTCATAATAAGCATTATAGGTGTAATATATGTTGGTTATAATGCCTGTGGGCACGTGCTGACGTGTACAAACAGACTGCCGTGTACATATCATGCCGTGTACGCACTAGACACACAGCCAAGAGCTGAGGCCTCCCTTTTTCCTCTTCACATGTCTGGGACTTCACTACATGGCAGTGGGTGGGTGAAGCTCAGGGTAAGTGACTGCTTCTCTTCCAGAGATACCTGGGGCCTCACTAGTGGTGTTTCCCCACCCCCACCACCCCACCTGATGGAAGAAGTTTGGAATGGTGGCTGTGGGGAGGGAGGGGACTTGAACCTTCTCGGTGGGCTCAAGATCAAGGGGCCAGAAAGGGAGAAGGAAGGAGGGAGGAAGCCAAAGACAGCCTCCTGGGTTGGCCATTTCCCTGAGAGGGTGTTCTGACTCTAATCTCCCACTTCACACAGGACCCAGAACCAAGTCTGAGTCAGACAGAGCCTCCTAAACATGAGTATGGGTTTGGCAGGCACCAGGCCCCCCATACAGTGCCTCTTTTCTATGGGAGATATAACCTGGGTGCCAAATCACTAACACCAAAATATCCTAGATAGGTCAGTGTCCATGGAGATATCTGAAGGACCCTCCCAGGGAAGGGGTGTTTGCTGTTAGTGACAGAGGGAAGCTGTGTAGGGGGCAAGTGGAAGAGAGGGTGAGGAAATGAGAAGATGACCATATTCCAGGTATTCCCAAGTCTGTAGCATACTCGCAGGCCCCCTCCTCTTGCTTCTTCCAGGAGGTAGGAGTTTAGACATTGCTTGGGACCCGTTTGTTCTTAGAACTGGAACTTCTTACCCTGTCAGAAAGGAAATGAGGTTTGTCTGGCTGAGCTGGTCATGCCAGACAAGCCTCATTTCCTTCTCTGGCAGAGTCCCCAGGGTAGGGAAGGTGGCTGCTGCCTTTGTCTGGGCTTCAGGACATGTACCTGGGATGTAAGGCCAAGGAACCTACAGGGCACGGTTGTCATGGAGTGTGATAGGGTCAATAGACTGGGATACCAGGGGAAGGTGGGCACTCCAAGGGCATCTGCACTTCAGCAAGATGCATGCCAGGGTCACCAAGTGAGGAGACAGGGTATGAGAATGTCACGGTGCATTTGGGCAGAGTGTGCCAAGTCAGCAGGCAGGGAGCCTGGGAAGGTGGCCAGGAAGAAGCCATACAATTAGCATTACTTCTGACTCCGCCTTCCCACTTGCTGTGTGACTCTGGGCAAGTTGGACTCCCTCTCTGGGCCTCAGCTTGCTCTTCTGTTTTATGACTTACTCTCAGAGTCCACCCTTGGTCTCCCCACAGTCCTGCACTTCCCTCAGCAAGAAGACCCCTGGTCTGAGTTTTCCTCATGTCCTTGAAACTAACCTTTCATGTGACCTTGAAGTAAGCCCAGGTTTCTACATGTTCATTTGTAAAAACAGTAGGATAAACCTTGCCTGCCCACATCCTTCCCAGAGCAGCCTTGAACATCTCAGGGTCAACTGGTAAAGACTCTCGCTAGGGAGGGAGGGCTCTGCCAGTCTCTTCCTGCCCATGCTGGTGCTGCTCTTCAGAAACCTTTGTCCCCATTCCTCTCCCTCTCACATACTCTCCCCTTCTTGTTAGCTGCTGTTGGGTTGGGGACTCATGGCAGCCCCATGCGTAAGGGACCGAAATGCTGCCTGGTTCCCACGGTCAGTTGGGGATCAGACCCATGTAATCTATAGGGTTTCCACTGGCTAATTTTTCAGAAGTAGATTATCAGTCCT